TAACAAGTTTTGCAGGTAAAAATTGTATTTGATGTAGGCCATATACGCAATCAAAATGTGTGAGAGAAGAAGGAAGTGCTGTGAACATTACCATTTTACGCGTGACAGAGATTTTAAGTATCTTATATAAATATATGAAGGAAAATGTTTTAATATAGCCCCAATTGTTCTCGAAAAATATGATTTAGTTAAGACAAATTGATGCAAACTGCTCTGCAAATTGTGGATGACATAGATTCACCCGTTAAAGACGTGTTTGAGAATAAGCTGCACCACGAATTTTTGATCGCACTATTATAATCATATCGGATAATTCTCGATTAATTTTTTACTGACGCACTATGGACGATTAATTTCTTTGTGGGTGCACAAACTTGGTGTTGTTGAAGAGAAAAGAAATGCTTCCAATTAGTTCGTTCCACTTCTAGAGCATTTCATGGAGAGGTGTATAGAGTTCATTTAATAATTAATATTATATGGTTCCATGCCCTTTCATTGATTAATCGAAGGTACGGGAAAACGCAGGTCTTTTAACGGGAAATAACCCAAGAAAACTACTCTATCATGAGCTCAAAACTGAGGGGGTGCTTTGTTCTCAGTAAAAAAGTGAGGTATATTCTATATAAAGAGCCATGAGGTTCTTCGAGAATTAATAAGCTGATTCTTTTCGATAATAAATAGAAGTGCTCGATTTAACGATTTCTAACGCCTTTCGCAGTTTTCATGGGGCAGGTGACAGGGATTATGATAAATAAAAGGCCGGAGTTACGCGTTAAACTCCAAAACACGCGCTCACACGACCTTTTGCAGTTGCGAGCGCCCTAAAACTCGTACCAAACTAAGCTAAAACTTCAAATCTTTTTTGTACAGAGGAGAAAGAAGGCCGATGTACTTTTTTTTTCTAAATCCCATCAGATAAGATTGTGAGTTTCTTTAGGGGAGTTTTACGGCACTTGCAACACAGTTAGGTCATAAAAGTGTGGAAGATTAGAGGTGTAACAAGAGGGTAACAGACATAGAAATGATGATAAGGACGATAGATGTGCTTCATTAGTTTGACTTCCTCCCTAGCTCCACCCGACCGTGCTTACTTACTTCACGTTATCCTTCCTCTTATACCTCTCGGGCGTCGAGGGAAGAAAGAGCTTTCTGTCTCTAGCAAGTTGGATGGCCTGGCTGGGTGGGATGTTGTGTGTTTTCATGTTATCCTTCACACCCTCGATTCAGGTTTTTCTTGGTCTTCCTCTTGCCTTGTACCCTGATATTTTTTTTTTATTATTTTTTTTTTGGCAGTACGCTTTACTGGTAAGCTAGTGAGATGCCATACGAGTGAGATGTCCAAACCACCTGACTGTTTTCCTCTGAATGTAATGGAGGACAGGACCAGGTGTTGTTCCCAGCATTTCTCTGATCCTGTTATTTCTGATCAAGTCCCGTCTGATTTTGTTGAAGGCTCTCCTTAGACATCTCATCTTGCAGGTGATTATCTTATATTCCAGACTTTCGGTCAGGGTCCATGTCTGGCACTGGCAGGTCAAGGTGGAGATGAAGACAGAGTTAATGAGCTTGGCTTTGGTCTCAATGAGTCCGACCTTGCGGAAACGAATTTTCGAACAAGCGTTAACCCCACTTTAGAGATAAGATCAAAAGTAGACCCCCCCCC